GCACGGGGTCCTATGGGCCCGGGCAGGGTCTCCTGTTGCCCATGGGGTCGCTATGGGCTCGGGCAGGGTTTCCTTCTGTTGCACACGGGGTCGCTATGGGCCGCCTCCATGGTACCTAACAACAACACCCATGAAAATCGAGATCAGACTCAAAGCCAAAAAACCCTCTAACTGCCATCAAGTTGACTCTGATTCACAGCAACCCTGTAAGGCCTGGTACCTGGGAGTCTGAGACTGTACATCTTTATGGGAGTAGAAAGCTTGATCTTTCTCCCAAAGAGCATCTGGTGGTTTCGAACTGCTGGCTTTGCACGTAGCCGCCCACAGTGTCACCCACTGTCGGATCATTCTAAGGGGAGGTCAGAGGTAGCACCCTCTCTACAAGGCTGTGCCAGTTCTGCCACCAGCCTTCCCTCCCACAACACACCCTGGATCTCGTCTGGATTTGAGAATCCCTTGCAGTGACTGCAGGGAACTGGGGATCAGGATCAGGAAGCGGCCCCTGAAGTGGTGGTGAGCACGCCCCCCCCCCCCCTTCAGGGTAGGACTGCTCCTCTGCCATGCAGGACCCCTCTCAGCTGTGCCGTCTCCTCTGAGCCCTGGACAGGCTGCGCTCATCCCTGCCTTCCGTAGACGCAGACTCCGCCTCAGGACCCCTTCCAGGCCTGTCACCACTCACTTCCTCATGGCCTCTTCCTGGCCCGTTCCCGCCTTCAGTGTTGGATCCACTGACCCGGGTCACAGCTCTACAAGGTTCCTTTCCTCCTTTCTCTTTGCCTCTCTCTTTTCTGCTTCTGGTTTGAACAACCTCTGTGGAGTGGCTGCATAGATACACAGACTCCTTAGCAGGTTTCCAGGCATGGCCCTCCCACCAAGGACCAGACCTGACCTCTCTAGGTCACAGGTACTACATTGGCATAGTATGTTGTTGGGTGCCATGAAGTTCCTTCCAACCCATAATGACCGTATGCACCAGCCAGCCTCCCAGTTATTCCTCCGCTTGAGCCACTGCCTGCAGCCACAGTGCCAGTCCATCTGGAGGGCCTTCCTGTCCTTCGACGCCCCTCCACCTCACCAAGCATGCCGTCCTTCTCCAGGGACTGGTCTCTCCCGACAACATGTCCAAAGCACGTGAGACACAGTCTCTCGATGCTGGCCTCTAAGGAGCGCTCCAGCTGTGCTTCTCCCAAGACGGACGCCTTTGCCCGTGGTGCTTTCCTTATTCCTCTCCAGCACCACCATTCAAATGTACCGTTCTTCTCCGGCCTTCCTGAGGCAGGGTCCACCGTTCACATGCACGTGAGGCGAGGGAGAACGCCCTGGCTTGGATCAGGCTCACCTCCGTCCTCAAAGGAACATCCTTACTTTCCAACGCTCCGAAGAGGTCGTGTGCAGCGAATGCGCCCATGGTATAGTGGCCCACGTCTGCGCGGCGCCTGCATACCAATCACAGGGCAGGCTGCAGCCTAAGGTCATCAAGAAGCATCGGACCCTACTTGGCCTTTGCAGCAGGCCCAGGGGCTGCCAACCAACGTGCGCCAAA